GCAAAAGTAATCAATATGTAGCAAATTTCAAAGTCATGTAAAAGTATTCTTGGAAACTCATTTTTAAGTTAATGCAGGTTGGAATTGCTTGAGGCTTAAATCCTGCAACAGGAACAATACTACATATTTTTATATACAGACAAAAGCAAGCAACCCACACTTATTTGCTATTTATTAGAGTAAAATATTCTGAAAGGAACATGTGAATAATGAATACATTTGAGGAAATCCCATTATAGCTTCAATTATTTTACATTCAGAAGCTTCAATTATTGTAAAGCAAAAGCTAAAGGGATAAAGTGTAAGAATTAATAATTCATTGTATATCCTCTATTCAGGTCTGTTGAATTTCTTGTTGAGACATGCAGCTTGTTTACGTGTAGCAATTAATTGGTACCGCTATACTGCAGAATAACCAATTCTAGATGAGGTATTCTAGAGTCATTCCCCATATTTGGATACTCTTATTACAAAATAAGAGTGGCCATGTGGGGCACTACTCCAGAAACATTTTTTGGGTCAATATCCCTGTGTACATAAACAAACGGTGCGTTACAACACTGATTTTTTGTCTGTCTTTTAAAATAACTTCTAAGTGGCAAGTTCTGCTGACTGTCATGTATGGGGTCACTGTCACTTCTGTGTCTGATGGGATTTCACTGCAATACCAGGATTTTATTCCTCACCTCTGGTGCACTCTTTTTTTTTTTAATATAAAACTAAAGAATAAAGATTTTCCTTGATTTCACAAATGGAGTTATTCTAAGAAATTCTTATTACTGGTTAATCCCATATTAATTTGCCTGCTTGCAAACAAATGCATTCTCCCTCCACTTTCTTAACATAACAATGACCTTGTTACTGTCAATAATGCCGCTTGTTGGCCAGGTCATAATCTTATCACTACAAACATAATCCAGTGAATCCTCTCCTGGTTGATAATACATCTTATTTTATAATACTGAGATCCTAAGAAAGGTTTTGATATGGTGTTTGACAGGCTTCAGATTCTTATAGCATTACTTTCCAGATAATGAAAAACATAAGAAAGGAAGGACCGTAGGTGTTTCTGGTCTCTCATCTTTCAGAGTAATAAGATTGTCTTTTAATGTTGCTTCACTCTGTTTGTTCTACAGTCTTTGAAAAACTCATTTTATTGGAAACCAGTGAAGGAGAGCACCATTTAGCTCCCCACATGAGTAAAAATGCATACCTATCAGAACTGCAGCCAAGCAGAATGAGATGAAGGTTTTGTTCTGGGACTCTTTTTGTAGAGTGTGTATGGGAGACAGTGAAGGGAGACAGTGTGATGATTTGAGCTGTAATGTCACCAGTGCATGGGTAACATTCAGCTATACCTTTAATTTTCTTCTGTCTGGGATGATGCATCTACTTAACTTTCTCAGTTCATTGCTGATATTGGGTTTTGAATAAATGTTGCTGGCTCAGGCTCAACAGGACAAATATAAATTAAGTGGAAATGTACAAGTATCAAGAGGCAGTGGCAAGAGAATACCTTATCAGAAGTATTGAAGAGGAGCAGCATACGTGTCATTGTGTTTCACAACTGATCAGTATACCTGGAAGCGCAGGTTAGAACAGCCAAGGGTACTTTTTTTCCCACCTGCATTAAGCAAGAGGTTGCAACTTTTCCTCCCAAACATCTTTCTCAACAGATAGTACAAACCCTGTGTTATATATCAAGCCTGTTAATGTACTTTGTAGACTTCGCTGGCTTCCCAGTTTACCTCTGGATGTATTTCAAGGTGTTGACTTTGATTTATGAAGCTTTGTATGGTTTGTGCCCTGGTTATTCTAAAAGATCACTTTTCTCTCTCTCTGTCTTCTAGTCCATCAAAAAGAGCTGGATCACTTCTGTTAACTATCCATACATATACATTATAGGTATAGAAGGGAGAAAGTTCTTTGGCTCTTTCTTTTTCTTTTTTTAACATTTTCATAGTAAAAAGAGACATTTTGGGAAATGTCACATATTTTACCCAATGCTAAACAAAAAAAACCCAACAAAAATCAGCTTCACCCTTACAAAACAATATTTTGAGTTCACAAACTTCTCTTTCTTATTCTTACCTAATAGGAAAATATATATGTAAAGTTCAGTTCTTTGATATTGTAAACTTTGGTCTGATATCACTTTTGCAATTGTTATTGGAAATATTTGTGTTACAGAACTGACTTCGCTATTTTTTTAACTGCTGAAAGTGTTCTGTATTCAGTAGATGTGATAGATATACTGTTCTCAATGAAATGGTGTTAGCTACCTCTTCTAGATCAGTGCTGACAACAACATCAGAGAAAAATGTCATTTAATGGCTATACCACAACATTTTAAAATAAAATGGAAACTTTTTACAAAAAAAGGGGAGGTAACAGCTCAGAATACTGGCAGGTCTAAAGAGTCATTCTTGATAGACGGAACTCTTCTGCAGATCAATGTGAATGCTTTCTTCAATATTCACAGCATTGGTGATTCTTCCAAAAAGGATGGCTTTGAAACACAATATGTTATATATACAATTATTCTTATTTTTGTATATCATGTAAGGCTAAGAAAGGGCAAGATGGTATTTTTAATTCAAAATAAGGATTTAGTCAGGTAGGGCTACTTGTGTCTTAGGAGGATAAAGACTTCATTCTGAGTGAAGGGTTGATTACAGTTGGTAAGATAACTGTATGTGGAGGGTGAGTATGTGTATGCGTGTGTAAGTAGAAGAGAGAGAGAGAGAATGGCTGGTTTCCAAAAACAATTTTCCTAAAAGGAATGGGGATGGAATGGAAAAAAAAAATCTTCACTTACAGCTTTTTTTTCCCCACGAAGAGACTGCCAGCTTAAATAAAAATCAAATTTGTATTAACACTAATGAGCTCCTGTTAGGCATCATGGTTGTGTAAGCACGTCCCTTTTCTAGCATCTGTGCTAGCACTTTTCTATGAGGAGCAGCTGAGAAAGATCAAAGTGGAACAAAACACCATGTCCATCAGGATATCAGCTGAACAAAATCAGGTTTGGTCATGTGACCTTGTGATCTGTGTAATCACAGTCATAGTAATTAGAGATAGCCAAGACCTGTTCACTCATTGAATCCATCCATCCCTGTGCAAAACTCTTCCTTCCAATGTTCTGGCATTTTTTGTCCAGCCTTCTTCCAGATGTTCCAAAAAATGGAGTGCCATAGTTCCAGGGCTTGCTCCACCCTTGGCCTTTCTCTGGTCTCTCATGCCCTTTAAGTGTTAGGCTCCATGTCTTAATTTCTTTCAAGGTGGTATTCCATAACTCTCTCACTCTTTGACTAGCTCCTGGGTTACAGCATCCTACTCACCAACCATTACTGAGGTAGCCCAATGCAGTCCTGCACCTGAAAGTTTTATCTTTGGGAGCTCCTGGTAACTGGATAATAGAGGGCACCAGAGTGCTTTTTCAGGCTACTTTCAATGGGGAAAAAAAAGACAAAGCATAAGAAAAAGGTTTTTAAAAGCAATAAATAGTTTTATATATGTCTAGTTTATCATAAGCCTTACCACTTTGTAGTAACAGCAACCCAAGAGATTCTGTTTCAAAATCAGCCTGTTCATTAGGCATAGACCCAAATGTTCCAGCCTGATCTCTCAGGAGTGACTTGTTAACTTTACTTGTCCCCCTGCCAAACTTGGTAAAACTGGTTCTGGGAAGTAGCATCTTTCCAGCTAATAGTTTAGGTATTGTTTCTTAATTACTGCAGGTTACTTATCTTAGAGCCATGTGCTACCTTCCCACGAGCTTCTTAACAGCCCTGCTATTAATGGAATCAAACACATATATAGGAAATATGCCAGTAACTTGGTCACGTCCATTACTCACAAATCATTATGGAACAGCCCCTCATGTCATTCACATGACATTTCCACTATTTCCCTGGCAATATAATTCCACCATTCAATATATTTAACTGTCAAGAAATTTTGCTATAAACCTTTCTCTAAATTTGCCTGATTGTGACAGACAAACTCAGGAGACTTTGTAGGTCTACTAGCATTTTTTTTTTAAAAGCTCCAAGTATTCTCATACCAATCATATGTTCACTATGTAATATTTGCTGAATGGATAAGCTTGCAGATAGGTAGTGATAACTTAATTAGGAATGTCTCATGGAGAAACCTGCTTTCATGGACCCCTTAGACATAGTCTGTGGACCACAGGGATCTACAGACCACAGTCTGTGGACCACAGGGATCTACAGACCACAGTTTGAAAACTACCGGATTAAGCATTTCTCATCAAAGCAAGGCTGTATCCCACTTGATGTCTGTTGGGCAGTGGAGAGTTTGCTTCTCATGATGAGTTGGGCAGGTTTAGGGGGTTGTTTGAAAGCCAGGAGTGGGGCGGCGCGGCTGGGAACATTTCTCCCAAAGTCTGATCTTTGTTGAGTATAGTCTGTAGTTTGGTGACTTTTCTGAATGGCTTCACTGTGGGATGGTAGGTGACTACCAGGGGTATGTGGTCACAGGAGTTTTCTTTTTGTGTTGTTACTGCAGGGTATTTGGATAGTTTTTTCAAATGTATGGTCTACTCCTCTACTGGAGTGCCCTTATTGTTAAAGGCAGATTTTAGGCTGGTTAGGTGGGTGTCACAAATATTTTCCTTAAAGAAGATGCAGTGCTCTCTGAGGGCCTTCCTGTAGATTGCAGATTTTTTGGTGTGCTTGGAAAGATTGCTGGTCCTGTGTATGGTGATCTGTGGGTTTTCTGTATATAGTGGTTTGTAGTGCCATCCTGGATGTGGATCATAGTATCTAGAAAGTTGATGTTAGTGTAGAAATATTCCAGAGAAGGTTTGATTGAGGGATGATCGTTGTTAAACATGTGATGCACGTCAATAAGTGAGTCTAGGTGTTCAGTCCAGATATAATGAAAATATTAATTAAATGCTGGCATAGTGCAGGTTTGATGATGCAGTTTTCTAGAAATTGGTCCCTCAGGTGGCTCATGAAGAAGTTGGCAAAATGAGGGCCCATCTTTGTGCCTGTAGTTGTGCCCATGGTTTGGAGGAAGTGCTGAATGTTGGAAGTGAAGTTGTTGGTGAGGATGAAGTGGATAATTTTTGGAACATGTTGCAAATCTTAGTGTACTCCATGTTCTTGAAGGTATTTCAGGCAGGCAGCTGTGCCATTATGGCATAGGATGTTAGTGTACAGGCTGGTGACACCCATGGGTTTAAGAATAGTCTTCTTAGTGAGGTGGTTGATGTTCTGGCTTCTGTTGAGGAAGTCTGTGGTCTTGTAAAAAACTTGCTCTTTGAATGACAAGTATTTTCAGTATAGTTTCTTTGAATTGAAATTACTCTTCAGTGAGGGTACCACAGTAGGATATAATGGATCTGCCAGGGCTTAAGAAGTCATTATTTATTTAGACAAATTTTAAGATCAAACCTGAAGAAGAATGTACTGCATGCAAAAGCTTAACTAAGTGTATCCCAACCAGGTGGTTGGTCCAATAAAAGCTATAGCCCGCACACATCCTTGCTTCTCGCATACTTCCTTAACTGTCTTGGCTACAACATCACTCCAACGTTGAAATATTAGTTACTTGTTTTAAAGGACTGCAAACTACAGTAATATCAGGATAAAGTGGCTTTTACCACACTGGCAGGCAAGGTTCTCTGAGTAGATGTGATATCGTTTATTAGACCAACTCAGTTAGACCAACACGGCTACAACCAAAAACCCTTTTACCACACTCACATCCTTGTTTTTCTGTATGTCAAAATGTGATTAGATTCCTACTCATCAAAAATTTATACAGTATGTACAAATTACCTTTTATCAGAAGAAATAAAAGACAACAGATTTACGCTTCCACAAGCAATTTATTAAAGTGACAAATAGTAAGGTAACACAAATCAAACACAAACCCTAACATTTTTGCTGCCTTTTTGTTTCAGTTGTTGGGTTCCTCCCTCCATAGACTGTTTTTTTTTAATTATAAATGCTACTACAGCTGGAATTGTGGGGCAATTTTGGTGGCCCAGAAAGCAAAAAAATCTCTTCCTGAAGGTTACGTTTTGTTTTGTTTTCAACTTGGAATCCTGAGCTTAAGGATTTCAGGATTGATTCCCCAGCGGTGAATCATCAGCGGAGGAACAGTTTTGTTTGTATTAGGCTTAGATGAATATGGTACCTAATAGAACTGGCTTTCTGAAACAACAATTTGCAAAATTAAGGGAAAAAATAAACTATGAAAAATAAAATAACTGTTAAGAGGGGGAGGCAGTAAGAACTAAAAGACACTGGAGACAGTAAACTATGACCCTGTCATTGGACATAAAAGCACTTCAGTCTATGCTTAACTTCAAACATTTGAGCTATTCCTTTGTTGTTGCTGGGAGTAATTACATGCTTTAAGCATGTTTTCCAAGAATAGGTCACAGTTTGCTGCAGCAAGGTAAATGCTGCCAAGAGTTTGTCCTCACCACAGCATTAGTTTGAATTATCTGGGCTCACATTAACTTCTTTTGAATTAACCAAACTTTTGTGAGAGTGGTGGCACTGAAAAAAGACATTCAGAAAGGAGTGCTTGGAAAGGCAGTTCAGAGTAGCTGAATCTCCTTTAGATTGCTGCTTGAGCCACAGCATCAGTTGAGCTGAGAGGGCTGCTAGCCTGGGTTTAGATTACCAGAGATGGTTGCAGCCAAAAAATATAGCAGGGGCCACATTTGAACCTGATTGCAAGCTAACCATTCAGTGAAGATAAATCCTACAGAAGAGAGAAGGAAATGAACTAGAGAGAAATGACAAGATGTGAACAGTGGCTGATGTTGGACAAAACTGCTGTCCACTAAAGTTTATAGTTACTGAAAATATTTTTTTTCCTGATCTGTTTGTTTTTCTGTTCTCAACAGCAATAAATAGGGTAATAATTAAAAAAAAACCCTAATCTAAACTTTGGTTTGTTAGAATAGGACTTTAGAAAATGGGCCACAGCCTCATTTGGTGTAGATTGGTATAGCTGACCCAGCTGAGAATCTGGGCCTACGTTAATAAATGCCTAGGGCAGTCCTCTGTTTGGGGGCAAGTGATTGACAACTGAAGGTGAAGACCATTTTGTTGATATTATGGCAGGAGGCACCTCTGATTATGCAGATTGCAGAAAAATAGGCTAAACACTTTTAGACATTTACTTTGGCTCAGCACTAAAGCAAACATAAAGCCTAAAGCTCTATAAACTGAATTGTCAAGGGGATGTAAGTGGGAGTGGGAGTAGATCTGCTGGCGTATAATCTGGTCTGTCAGATCTGACATGTGGCTTCCCAGCTGTTTAGAGTTCAGGGCTCTGTCTCTAGAGGTGTCCTTGTGCTGTCCTATTCATCTACACTTTTTCTCTCAAAGTCATTTTGATCACTGTCATCCTGTATAAAAAGGAATTTCTTATTGGCAACTGAAGCATCAATGTGGATAAGACAAACAAAAACGGGGGGTGGGGAATGAAATTCATTTGGTATGGGGGACCAATTCAAGCCTCATTTAAACCTATATGGGCTATGGAAGGTGACCATAAGGCTACACAGGAATACATTTACAATTCTTATGTTACAGGACTTAACCTGTAGACTAGTATGGAAGGCCACCTCAGGGTGGGGAGTGTGTGTGAGGGGGTGGGGGGGGTGACAAAGACAGGGAGGATTCATGCAGTTTACACTCACTCAGGCCCTTTTGTCCAAATACTCTGTGCAGCTAGTGTGGACTAATTTTTTTAACTTGGTGGGATAGATTTCAGCCCTGCAGCTCCTCTGCCTTTGACCTAAGGCAATGTGGACCTTTGAGACAGACCCCCAGGGCACCTATACACTTACCAGACATCTATTCTGATGTGTGCTAATTAGCATGCATTGGAGTAGACTATCAGTGCGCTAAATAGCGTGCTCCACCAGCCTCTGCATCACATGTGTTCAGTGTCCCCACTCTTCAAAATGGCAGTGGGGGTGCTTGAACTAAAGCTCATCAAACGAGCTTTATTTCAAGTGCCCCCACCACCATTTTGAATACACACGATGCTGCGGGCGCTTTAATTAGAGCGGCTCTCCCACCTCCACCCTGATGCACATGTATAGATGCCGTCAGCGCCTAAGCACATGTGCTTGAAGGAAGTTGGGTAGATTTTTCCCCTTTACGAATCCATTTTTGTATCCTCTCTAGGAAACATATCCTTGTTCTTTCGTTTTTTTTTCTTTTTTCATGAAAAATCCTATGTTCTTCCCTGTACCTGAATTACGATTTGACATTTAAAGATATTTTCCATGATAAAGATGTTTTTGTTTTATCCATAGCACAGTGACTTTGCTCTTCTATTTTTCTGATAAATTTAACAACCCCTGGACACATTTTATGTCTGCCTTCAAGTGGGGAGCTATATTTTTATCACCTGCAGGAACATAACTGCTATACATTTAAATAGATTTGGTTAGTTCAGAGCACTAATCATTACATATTATGAATTATTAACAACTAATTTGCCTCTGGTCTGGGTGAAATTCAGCCAGAAATTAAAAGAGATGTGCCATAGGGAATGTGTGTTTCTCTACTGAATCCCAGTTTTTAAGGGAAAACTGTGGCAGAATGTCAATCTTGTTCTTGTCAGCTATTTGCTTTTTGGAGGTCTTTTGGCCTGGTGGAACAGACTACACAGGGTGCAGGACTCCAAGGCAGTGGTTCTCAACCTTTTTAGACTCAGAGAACTCCTTGTTAGATTGAAAGCAACCCTCAGAAAATGCCAGCTCGTAGCTTTTGCTCATCTTTTGACTATGGAAAAATAATAGTGCACTTCTTCTGTTGCAAAGTTCTCAAAAGACCGCAACAGGTCAGGTTTTTGATATTGTGGATTCCTATTTGAAATCTCTATGTTTATCTAGTGATTTGTGTATGTGCTTGCACACCTAACAGTGATATTGCACCCCCTACCACACCTTTAAAAAGATCTCATGACAGTCATTGCTCTAGGGTATCTAAATTGCCCATGTTTTCATAACTTCTTTAAAAAATGCTGGTAGGGTAAGGAAGTGAATATGTAATACCAGATCACTGGAAGGAGAGGAAGGGAAGGATGGGCTGATAGTTTGGGGCACAGTTTTGTGAGTAAAGACCAGGGCTTGATTCCTAGTGCAGTCAGAGACTGCGTTACTGATTTTAAACATGCCACTTACAGCCAGATCTGTAAAGGGACTTGGTTGCCTAAAGCCTATTTAGATGGCTAAATCCAAAGCTGAGAACCTGAAAATCCCTGTTCAGTTGCTGTCTAGCCATGGAGGTACCTGAACAGTATAGGCATATTTCTTTTGATGTAACAGTTTACCGGGGCCTTGAATTGTGCCTCTGCACATGCCCTGAACTGCCTCAGTCTTGACAGGGCTGAGCATCTAGACAGCTTTTTAACATCTTTGTCTGACTGGATACCAGATCCTAGGCATTTCCTGCCTAAGTACCCTGCGGTCCTCAATCTAGCAGACATCCTCAGAGCATAACTAACACAGGTGTCTACAGCAGCAGTCAGCACCCTTTTAGGCCATAAGCTACAGTGACCCAGTTTGGGTCAGAAGGTGGTGGGTGGGTGCCAGAACCCAGCCACAACTGCTGCTTTTCCCTGTGGCAGTACAAGGAGAGCACCCATAGCCGGTGCTTCTTCCTGTAGCCATACAGGAAGGTGACTGCTGCCGAAGCCCCATGTTTGTGAGCTGGATCAAATAAGGGCTGAATCTAGCCTGCGGGCTATAGGTTGCTGGCCCCTGCTCTACAGGATCAATGTATTGTACTTGCTACTTTCTCTTAAAATACATCAGCCTCATGCTATTGGGACCAGTGTTGTTCCCTGCACCCCCTCTACTTCCCTTTTTATAATAGTACAAGAGTGTCAAACTTGTTTGCCATCCCCGCCCCGCCCCGGCTAGATCTAGACCATGGGGCTTCTCACAGGCTAAATCTGGACTGTGAATGGCTCCTTGCCAGCTGGATCCAGATGCATGTCCAGCAGCGGGGTGATTAGAAGTAGTGTTGACTACTGTTGGTGCCTGATCCACTGTGTCAGCTCAGGAAACCATGGGAGTTAACGCAGCCCTCACCCCACTGCTGCTGCACAGGGCTCCGTGCCTCGGAAC